TATATATCGGAGTTCAAACATTGTTCCATTTGTTTTAAGTGACCTTTAATGTTTAACACTATTTATATGATATGTGTTTGAATAATCTATGTGTGTATATATATATATATATCGGAGTTAAAACATTGTTCCATTTGTTTTAAGTGACCTTTAATGTTTCTGGCAATGGTTTTGATTTATTTGGTTGTATACGTATACATATTTTTTGACCATTGTATGATAGTAAACTACTTGTTTTCTCTTTAGTTCATTCTGTATTTTATACTATTTATTGGTGTATTACATCAAGCACAACAAAAAATTAACACAATTCCTTGACAGATCTTTCCACGAGACAGTGTTTCATGTGCTCTAGCAGCAAGCATGCTATCTGGAGCAGTCGTTGTTGCCCTTATGACTCCCTTTGACGTCATCTCGACCCGGCTCTACAACCAAGGAGTTGACTCGAGGGGAAAAGGACTTCTATACAGGGGAGTCTCTGATTGTTTTTTTAAGATTTTTTCAACTGAAGGAATTTTAGGTTATTACAAGGGATGGTCAGCTTCTCTTTTAAGGTTGGGTCCACATACTGTCTTGAGCCTAATGTTTTGGAATGAATTCCGCAAGTATTATGACCACATCTCCGCCCCCGAGGATGTAGATTTTTTGCAACCATAAATACTTCATATTTAAAGATAAAAAAAAAATCTTGAGAACTATGAAGGGTTTTTTTTTTTTCAAGCGTATTAGTGCTTAGGTTATATAAACATAAGTTTCTTATGTTTCGTTTAAAACTTTTAGTGAAGTCTTTTTCTTCTTCCTTAAAAAAAAAAAAAGCATTTGTTAGGTTGAATGAAATTTTTTTTAAGTTTTAAATCAATTTAAAACGACTAAAAAAAGTATTTCATATATGCATATCATTAAAATGCATTGGTTTCTAGAGTATTCTGTCAGTCTTACATTTATTGTTTTATATCTAGGGGCTGTAATAATCTTAGGTGCATTTGTGCACAAAAGAAAATACTTTGATAAATATTATTTAAGATTTATTTTTTAAAAAAACAACATATAACGATACAGCTGTATGCACAGTAGAATATATTCTTAACTTAATGATTCTTTTTCCAGACTAGTTTTTCCTAAAGTCTTTTTAGTGAAAATATGTTTTTTTTGATGACTATAAAGCAACAAATTTATATATTTGCCAAACTAAATAATAAATGTGAATGTTAGTGATATTTTTTTTTGTTCTTCAAGTTGAATGTAGGTATGAAATATTATTTAGCAAAATTTTTCACACTTAAAATTTGTTATAAATTTTAAAGTGAGAAATTACGAATATGCAAAGGATACTATAAATTTTAATAATATATTAAGTCTGTAAATGTAACGATGACAAATATCGAAGGAATCGTTTAATGAGTAGAACTATGGTAGAAGAGTTAGCAGAATTGTTTTAATATTTACGTGTGTGTGTGGTTTTATATTTTGCATTGTTTAAAAAGTTATTGATATTTTTATTAAGAATAAATATTATGCAGAAGGAGTTCGCTTAATTTATGTCAGACTAGTGGAAACGAGCATAAAAGGTTTTTAACTTACCTATTGTATTTATGTAAACGTAACTGAATTGAGTGTATAAGAATTTAGCGAAATGTGATTGGTTAAATTGTATGCCTTAACAAACAACACATTATCTTATATGTGGATAAAGCTCGGTGCTGGTCAACTTGGAATACAATTCAAATATTCTGTCAATTCTATGAAGCAAAAAGTAATATATCATGTCCGGTGAGATTTGTAAAATTAATATTTTATAAACCAACAGTCTGTCAGGATGATATTTAGGCACTCTCGTGATTGTCTTGGAGCACATTAAAACCAAAAACTGAAATTGCAATTAGAACTGGAACAGCATACTAAAATCCAGGACACATTGTCTGTTATTAAATATTAAAAACAACTTATGTTTTTAAACTTCACACAAGTTTTTTTTTATCGGTTGTACACAGTAAAACTTTTGTATATTTTGTTCATAACGTTTCACCAGGTTTACCTGACATCATCAGGTGAGATACAGAAACTGATGATGGTGAAGCATTGTGAACAATATAAACAACAGTTTTACATTTTCCCATAATTAAAACTCGTAATTCCATAAATTTTAAGTAAAACAGAGCATGTTTATAAAATGTTGTAGTAATACACAATAGTTAATAAACACCATGAGCTATATAAATCCGTAACAACATATAAAACTCAGAAGAGGCTCTGTTCCTTTAAATAACTTTTTTGCTGCATCATGTGGATACTACATTCTTATTCAGATAGGATTTTCTTGGTCCAATGGCTCTACTGTAACATGTATGAACATTAATTTCCGTGTGTATGTATAAACTCTAAACTACACTTAAGTAGGATCAAGGAAAGCTTGAAAATGAATTATTTTACCAAATAATAGAAGTGTTATAGTTCTTGTAAATACATCGATGATCAAACGTTATTATTTCCTGCATCTACTAATAGCTTAAGAACAGATCTGGTGGTTAGGGTGCTTGACTCACAATCTGCGGGTCGCGGGTTCAAATTCTGTGCCACCAAACATGCTCACCCTTTCAGCCATGGGGGCATTATAATGTGATGGTCGATCCCACTATATGTTGGTAAAAGAGTAGCTGAAGAGTTGGTGATGTGTGACAGGAACGTCGAGAGCCAGCACGGGCCCCCTTTCTCTCTCTCTCTCTTTTTTTAACATTTTCAAGAATTTATTAAAAAGAAGATTCTAAATTAGGACAGCAATGAGCTCATAAACCAGACAAAATCATAGCAGCAGCCGTTTTTACCTCACAGTG